CAGAGAAGAGAAAGGGATTAGAAGCAAGGCAGAGGACAAAGGAAGGTTAAGCAAGCTTTGGGAACTGATGAGTACAGAAGGGAAGGAAAGAACAAAGAAACAGAAACAAGAACAGCAAAACTAGAAAGAGTTTTCTTATATAAAAACAAGAACAAACAAGAAAAGAAAAAAATAGAAAATAAAAATAAACTTTAAAAAATTAAAAAGCAAAGAAAGAAGAAAAGTAGGGAAATAAAAGTCCACTTTGGCATCTATCTCTGCTGTCCTTGGTGGACAGAGGTGGTGGAGATGTCTGTGTGGATTTTCCCAGCAAACTAGCCTTAGAATTATAGTGATGGTGGACACTCCTAACAAATCTGGGTCTTTAGTTCCACCAAGTTTCAGGCTGCTTTTGGTTTCTAGCTGTGAGGCTAGGACCCTAGTTTTTAAGCCCACAATACTCTTGAGTGATGCCTGCCAGCTTAAACTTGGCTTCCTACCTGCATGAACTTGGCTCCCTGCTGGCTTGGACTTCACTTCCTGATCTCCTGCTGACCTGAACTTGGTTGCCCCTTACCCTGACACTTGTACTTGCTAGATGGAGCCAACCGTGCAGCTCTTCTGGTTTCTGACTTCCTTTGGCCCCTTTCCAAAATGACTACCAGCCATTCACCTTCTCCTAGGGGGCATCTGAACCTAAATAACTTACCACCCACTGCAGTCTGTAGCATCCATTGCTCCATTTCACTGGTGCATTTCTCTGTGGAGGCCTCTGATGTCACAAGTAGTCACTGTGGGTCTGCAGTTTTGAGCTTCCCCTCCCACACCAAATGCCAGGGCTCAGGGAAAAAGCACTGCTTCCCACTTTCCTCCTCCATGTTGTGGTCCCTCTCTTTACTTTCCCTGTGGGCTCTAATCCTCAATTCAGATCCTTGCTGGGTCCTGGGCATCAACTTCCTTCTTCCTTCTCTTCCTCACATTGCTGTATTTCAACATCTGGATTCTAAATATTGGAGGCCTGTTTCTCTGCTGCTCACCATTCTGCCATCTTCCTGTTTGATAGCCAACCTGACTCCATTTTGTGCCTCATCACTGTCCCTCTCCCTTCTTGGGAGTCCCCTTGGCTGATGGATGACAGACTGCATCCATTTAGCAAAGCACTCTGCAGCTGTATGTTATCTTTATGACCTTGTGAGCAGAAAATTCTGCACTTGTGTGATAATTTTGTTTCAACTAAACTGTGAAACTTCCTCTAACTCCCACTAACTTGGCAAAGTTCTGCTTCTTTAAAATTCTGCTTGTGCTACCCCCCATCCCTTCCTCAACTAGAAGAGCCACTTAAAAGAAACTCACAAACCGCTTTTAGGGTTGAGAGATTACGAGTGCAAGGTGCTCTCAACTGTCAACAATAAAGGACTCAGATTTGGCTCGGAGTGTCGGTGATTCTTTGTAATCTCTTGCTATTGGGTATAATGTTTTGGAGGCTCCAGCGAGATCACCACTTTGGGTGGATCCCTCCTGTCTGGTGGATCCCTCGCTGTGGTCCCTCCTGTCTTCGGGGGAAGATTGTAGGAGAGATGCCCCCTGAGATGTTCCAGGGCCCCATGGTCTCAGCGCTGACACTGAGATCACAGTGGCATTCTGATTGCCTAACAAAGACAATCGCAAGTTCACCATGTCTGTTTCTGAGGTAAGGATCCTTTCTGTCTGAGTGGGGAGCATTGGTCCTTGACAAAGTCACTCCTCAGGTCCCCTCTTAAGGTCAGGACACTGACCAGGGAAGTCCTCTGGTCTGGCAAGTTTCACCCTTTTGTTCTGTTATTAAATGTCAGGCAGTCATTCTACCCATGACAACTTGAGCCTTTCTTTTTCCTCCAACTTTCCCACTCATATCTGAACACTGAGGGTAGAGGACTCATCTGCAACCTGTCTTATTCTCCCTCTGAGTGCCCATACTGTGCCTTGGAGTTCTGTTCCATGACTGATTCTTTGTGGTGCCGTAAAGGCCAACTTGTCCTTCCAGGCCACTGTGGCTGCAACATCCAGCTTGTTAGCCCCTCTAACTGGCATTTCAGGAGTTCTTTTTCCCTCTGGGTCTACCCAGACTTTAGGTCCCAGCTCATTATCCACTTATTCTGTCATCCTTCAACCTTCCCAGGTCCCCTACCCCTCAGCCTACCCAGAGAGGAGTATGCTTCAGGAGTCCTTAGACACTTCCGATTCTTGTAAAAATAATTTCTATTAGTGGATGCTTCCAGACTTATGTTTTCCATCTTTTCCCATCTTACTGTCTCTCTTCTTTAGATTGATTCCTTGATTCTGTCTGGGGAAGGATGTGGTTCTGCTGTCCTCAGAATCTCTTTCTTACCCAGTACCAGTCCCTCTCCCTCCTTGACCTTGCCACTGAGGCTCTCCTGGCTCCTCTTAAATACTTGGCCTTCTGGCATTTATATGTCTATCCAGAGTTGCTTTACCAGCACTGGCTCAGACAGCAGCAAGGCCACCAAGACCCTGGACCTCACTGCCTTAACTAGAACTGGCCCCCCAGGTCCCAACAAAGGAGAAACAACCAGAGCACCTGCTACTTATTAAGTCCTTTCTCCCTGTTGGCTTTCTTTTTCTTCCAGGCCTTATTGTCTCTGTCTCCCTTCTCCTTCTCATAGTGAGAACTCCAGGGACCATGGAGTCCAGTGCCTCCCACCCTTCCAGTCCCCTCTCTTGCATACTCAAGAATTTCTCCTCAGGATTCCTTGGTGATTTTGGAGTCAAGATGTTGAAGAACAAACTTTGTACCTTTTGTGGGATAGACTGGGTCTCTTTTGGTGTGGGCTGGCCTTCAGGGGGCTCCCTGGGTCCCGTGCTAGTTCAGGCAGTTTGGAAAGTTGTCACAGGACAATCTTGGCACCCTGATTAGTTTCCATACATTGATTCCTGGCTCAGCTTAGTTCTACACCCATCTCCATGGATGAAGGCATGTGCTATGGGAACCTACACCCAGGTGCTCATATCCAAAACCTGCTGCCCCCCTTGTGCATGGGCCCCAGAGAAACAAGGTCCCCCACTGGTCTTGCTGCCATCAGATGCTGAGGAAGTCCTCCTTCCTCTACCCTAACATAACCCTAATCCATCTTCTCCTCCTGTTGATCCTGATCCACCTGCTTCCAGCCCTCCCATCTCTTCCTCTACCTCTCCCACTGCCTCTCCTTCAGTGTAGGGATGACTTCAGTCTCACAGGAAGTCTCTGCCTTGGGGAGATGCAGTCCAGAGGCTCTCCTGCCCCTAGGGAGGATCCCCCTCCCCATGAGGGAGGACTGGGGACCTGCTCATTCTTGGTGTATGTCTCTTTCTCCACCTCTGACCTCTACAACTGTAAAACTCAGAATCCAACATTTTCAGAGTAGCCCCAGGTTCTGATATCTTTGATAGAATCTACATCAGCCAACCGGATTGCCAGCAACTGCAGCTCACCCTCTTTACTGCGAAGGAGAGGGACCGAATAGCCAAAGCTAAAAAGGCCCTATTGGGAAGGTGATCTGAGGAGGAGTCACAGGAAGTGTTGAAATAGGGCTTCCCTTTTGAGCATCTGAAATGGGATATAAATACCTTGGGTGGGTACCAGTCATTGACCACCTTTCACCAGAATCTCTTAAATGGTATCTAGGCTGCTGCCCAGAAACCCATTAATTTGTCTAAAACTACAGAGGTGATTCAAGAACCAGACGAATCTCCTGTAGCCTTCTTAGAGTGACTTCAGGAGGTCTTTTGGGTTTACACCCCATTTGAACCCTCTGTGCCTGAGACTGCTCAAACTATTAATTTGGCTTTTGTGGCCCAGTCTGCTCCTGACATTAGAAAGAAGCTACAAAAATTAGAAGTGTTCCCATGGATGAATATGTCACAGCTGTCAGTGTGGCCCAAAAAGTCTTTGACAGCCGAGACTCAGAAAAACAGAATTAGTGATGGCTATCGCAGAGAGATCAGCCAAGAAACAGCCAGGGATCTTGGCAGAAGCCATTAGAGGGGACACCACAGGACCCAATTCTGGGAAGCCCAAAGGGCATGTACTTAGTAAACTAAGAGGATGCCTCCCATTGGGCGAGAAGCAATGTGCCTACTGCAAGGAGGAAGGGCACTGGAAAACTGAATGCCCCCACAGACCCTCTGCCAAGGTACTTCTCCTCCCTACATCCAGGGGACGAGAAGATTCAGACTGAGGGGGCTGGGGCTTCTCCTCTCTTAACCCTCGGGAGCCCATAGTGAATGCTGAAATAGGGGGCCAACTGGTACTGAGAAGTCAGTGTTAAAACCTCCCCTGGAGAGCTTTCATCACAAACTGTTCCCATCCAGGGGACCATCGGGGCAGTCCAGCCTACCCGCTCACAAGTGAGTGAATGGTAAGCCTGGAAGCAAAACAAGATACCCACTCTTTCATGGTGATACCTGACTGCCCATTCTCTTTGTTAGAACAGGGCCTCCTTCATAAGCTAGGGGCCACGATCTCTTTCACCCCGACCAAGGCTCAGATGTCACTCCCTTCATATCAACTGTTCGTGACCACTGCCCTATCTGAGGAGTAGCTCCCCTCAGGGGAAGAGAACCCAGAGGGAACAACCCCCAAGGGCCTATTGGACAGACTTCAGGGGGAGTTCCCTGAGGTTCAGGCTGAAACTAACCCACTGGGTTTGGCCGCTTATCACTCTTCAGTGATAGTGGAGCTCTTGTCCACTGCTATGTCTGTGTGGGTTAGACCACACCCCATCTCTCAGAAGTCCAGTCAGGGCATAGCCCCTCACATCAAGAGGTTGTTCAACTTTAGGAACACCCTGTTCTTGTCAGTACAGAAACTGGGGATGTCCTATTACAGACCAGTCTAGGACTTAAGAGAAGTTAACCCATGAATCGTATCTCTGCACTCTACCATTCTCAACCCATATACCCTCCTGAGTTTGCTGTCTCCTGAGCACCAAGTGTATACTGTGCTAGATTTAAAAGATATCTTTTCAGTCTGCCTCTTTCCTCAGCTAGCCAGCCTATATTTGCCTTCTAATGGACTGACCCAGCTTCCAATGATTCTTGGCAACTCACTTGGACCCGGCTGCCTCAAGGATTCAAGAACGCAACCACTCTGTTCTGTGAGGCCTTCCAGAAGGACTTACTTGGTGAGTTTTCGATCCCATGACCCTAACCTCATCTTGCTTCAATATGTGGAAGATCTGTTGTTAGCTGCTGCCAGTTGTTCAGAATGCCTTCAGGAAACAAGAGCTCCTACGATTGCTAGAGGAGTTGGGCTAATGTGTCTTGGTTAAAAAGGCACAACTCTGTGCTTCCCAAGCATCGTACCTGTGGTATGAGACCTCAAAAGGAAGAAAAACTTTGCCTCAGGCAAGGAAATGGGCCATTCTGCAGATACCCATGCCAACTACCAAGAAATAGTTACAAGAATTCCTAGATGCAGCTGGATACTGTGGCCTCTGGATACCTGGGTTTGCCAAGATAGCACAGCCCTGAAATCAAGCCCTAGAGTGGAGAACAAAAGAAGAAAAGGTGTTCCAGGATTTAAAACAAGCTCTGGTGTCAGCCCTGACTCTGGTGTTGCCTGGCATCAATCACCAAACCGTTCCAACTGTTCACTCATGAGGTAAGAGGGATCGCCAAAGGGGTCCTAACATAGTCCTTGGGTCCCTGGAGACACCCTGTGGCCATCCTCTCCAAAAGGCTAGATCCTGTAGCCTCAGGATGGCATTTATGTCTTCGGGCAGTAGCTACCACAGCCATATTGGTCAAGGAGGCTGATAAGCTGACCCTAGGGCAAGACTTGGTCCTTACTGCTCCCCATTCAATAGAGACTCTGCTCAGGGGGACTACTAACAAATAGATGTCCATTGCTTGCCTAACTTAGTAACAAAGCCTCTTGCTCAACCAGCCTTGCATTGCCTTCTCTGCAAATCAGGTTCTCAGTCTGGCAACACTGATGCCACATGATGACCCCAATACCCCAATGCATGACTGTGAGGAGGTGTTGGACCACACCTAGGGAGGCTGCTCAGACCTAATGGACATCCCCCAGCTGAGGCTGACACCACTCTCTTCACTGATGGAAGTAGCATGGTGGTAAGCGGGGTGCGGAAGGTGGGTACTGTGGTGACTATGCTTGACCAAACTATCTGGGCCCAGCCACTGCCCAAAGCAACTTCGGCACAAAGGCAGAGCTGATTGCTCTAGCCCAAGCCTTAAGGTGGGGAAAAGATAAAAGGATATAGTAGATATGCCTTTGCTATGTATATATGCATAAAAGATGAAAGGATACAGTGGGTATGCCTTTGCTATGCATATGTACACCAGTATATATAAAGAAAGGGGGCTCTTAATGGCTTGAGGGAAGACCATCAAAAACAAAGAGGAGATATTGTCTCCTGGAGATGGTATGGTTTCCCATGGAGGTGGCTGTCATATCTATCCAGGGACACCAAAGACACGATGCTCCAGAAACAAAAAGGAACCAGCTCGCAGACCGGGCCACCAGGGAGGCAGCCCTAAGACTAAGTCCTTAATCATCCTTCCTGCTGTAGGCCCACATCCCCCTCTGCTCCTGGCTAGCCCCACTTATAATAGAGAGAAAGACAAAGAAGTGAGTCACCTGCAAAGAGGACCCCCAAGGCTGGTGGAAATGTCCAATGGCTGCATCTACCTCCCCCAGGCACTAGGGTAACAACTCATTCAGCAGCTGCATTCAGTCACACGCCTAGGGGGCTCCAAAATGGCCAAGCTTTTAGCTCTGAGATACTGTCTTCTAAAATTACAAGAGCTAGCTTGGGCCAGGGATTTAGCTCAGTTGTTCCAGTGCCTGCCTTGTAAGTGCAAGGTCCCAAGTTTGATCCCTGGTACCAAAAAAGAGCTAGCTGGCCAGGCCTCTCTTAAGTGCCCAGCCTGTGTGCAAGTAAAACCTCACCAGGACCCATCTGCACCCCTTGGAATTAGATTCAGAGGAATGAGCCCTGGGGAACACTAGGAAGTGGACTTCACAGAGATTAAGCCTCCAGGGCACAGCTATTAATACCTTCTAGTCTTCATAGATACGGTCTCAGGCTGGGCAGAAACTACCACCATGGTTGCAAAGAAGGTGCTTCAGGAATTGATCCCCATGTTTGGGCTACCAGTGTCCATCGGATCTAGCAATGGCTCCGCCTTTATAGCCTCAGTAAGGCACTGGGTATAAATTGGAAACTCTGCTATGCCTACTGACCTCAAAGCTTGGGGCAAATGGAACAGATGGATCAAACCATAAAATCTGCCTTGATTAAATTGACCTTGGAAACTGGTGAAAGGTGGGTCAACCTGCTGCCCCTGGCCATCCTTTGAGTGAGATGCACCCCTTAAAAGCAGGTTTAATCCTTATGAGATTATGTTTGGAAGGCCCCCTCCCCTGCTCCCCAAAATCAAAAGTGAGATGGTAGAGGAATTTCCTAACCAGTCTCTGTTAAAGTACCTTCAGTCTCTTCAACAGGTATGGGCTTCTGTCCATGCCAGAGTACGAGCTACCTTACCCCAGCCCAGCTCTGCACCTTGCCACTCATTCCAGCCAGGGGACACTTCCTCAAGGCCTTCCAGAAAGGGGCTCATCCTGCTGTGGAATGGACCACACACTGTCATCCTCAGCACTCCCTTCACTCTCAAGGTCAACAGAATCTCAGCATGAATTCATCATTCTCATGTCAAACGGGAAACAATGGACAGCCAAACCAGGGCCAGACCCTTGAAGACTAGTCCAATAATGATCATGATCCTTGTCCTTATAATCATTGAAATGACAGGACTGGGCTCTGAAGGAGGAATATCCTGAGGGGAGAAGTACTCCTTTCTCCTTACCTCCTTTTCTATTGGAAGGGTAATCCTTAATGAAACTTGGAATTTCCATGCAGGGTCAGACACAATCCTCCACAAGTTAGATCTTTGCCAACTGTTTCATGTGTTCCCGCATTCACAGACAGGGTTATGTGATAGATTTGGTACTTGTGGGAAATCAGATCAGATGGGTTGTGGAGATTCCTCAAGGGAAAAAGGACTGCAGAGCTTGGCTTTCTGTATGTGTCCAGGCCAGGACCCTTTCATATCCTCCTGCCTCCAATCATCAGTACTACTGTCCCTACTGGCTCTGTATAACTGTGGCCTCCTATTCTGGGGGACCCAACCGCACTTCTGACTTAATTGCCTGGAGAGGTCAAAACCCTCATGTGGGTGCCACCGGGGGATGCAATCCTTTCTTCTTAAAGATAATAAACCCAAGATCCTATATTTGGTCAGTGGGTTGTACCTGGGGCCTTCGATTCTACATGACTGGCACAGACAGACCAGGAGACCATCTTCACCATCCAGCGCTGACCACTGACCTGGCCAGTGTGACAGCCTTAGGTCTCCTGATGGCTGTAAAGGACCCCATGTTTGAATTCCACCTCTCTGTCTCACCTTCCTTTCCAATAAGGCAGAATATACTCACCCACTGCCTCCTCTGCTTTCCATGCTAGGATCTGTCCACACTATGTTAAACGACCCAGCCTGCTCTGGGCCAGGACTGTTGATTATGCTTAAAGGCTAAGCCCCCTTATTACATGGGCATGGGGGCCCTAGAACAGATCCAGGCCTCAAATAATGCATCAACATGTATCTCAACTCCTCCCCCTCTGACAGTAGGTGAAGTTTATAGAAATGCTACCTGGCAACCCCTTATGACATGAGTAAGTCCCCTTTTCTTGCTGTATCCAACCAGACTTTGACCCAGGAGGCCACAAAGGCTAATTTTGCCCCTAATGGCAGCTGGCTGGCTTGCGCTCTTGGGCTTACCAGATGTGTCAGTGCTTCTAAACTATCTGCAGGACTTAAAGCTTTATGCATCCTGGTTCAAGTTTTTCCTCAAGTATATGTGTATGGAGGACCGCAGGGATGGGACCTTATAGGACCTCCAGGGTTGCAGTACAGGCAAAATTGACCAGCCCCCCTAGTGGTTCCAGTTCTGATGGGGCTGGGAGTAGCCGGCTTGACAGCACTTGGGACTGCTGCTTTGGCTAGGGGAGAACTCAGACTCTAGGCCCTATCAGAACAAATAGATTCTGACTTAGCCTACAGTATGCTGTTGACACCCACCACTCAGGTAGGATTGCTGGCTGAAGTGGTCCTCCAGAATCGTTGAGGACTTGATCTTGTGCTCCTGTCACAAGGGGAACTATGTGCTGCCTTGGGAGAAGCCTGCAGTTTCTATGCTAAGTCTGCTGTGATCCAAAATACTCTTCAGCAAGTCAAAGAAAATCTAGATAGATGTCAGAGAGAAAGAGAAACCCAGAATTCTTGGTACTACAACATGTTTAACTGGAGGCCCTCGGTGACCAGTCTCATCACTGGACTGCCCAGTCCCCTCATCCTGCTTTTCCTCAAGCTCCTGATTGGGCCCTGTGTTCTTAATTGGATAATTAACTTTGTAAAACAGCATATAGCTTCTGTTAAACTGCTGTACATGAGAACCACTCAGGAGGCTTGAGATGAGTCAGTGCTTTGACATCATGCTGAGAGGAGTTGGGAATGTGGTAGCCAACCTGACTCTATTTTGTGCCTCATCACTGTCCCTCTCCCTTCTTGGAAGTCCCCTTGGCTGATGGATGACAGATTGCATCCTGTTTAGCAGAGCACTCAGCAGCTATATGTTATCTTTATGACCTTGTGAGCAGAAAATTCCATACTTGTGTGGTATTTTTGTTTCAACTAAACTGTGAAACTTCCCCTAACCCCCACTAACTTAGCAAAGTTCTGCTTCTGTAAAATTCTGCTTGCTCCCCACCCCATCCCTTCCCCAACTAGAAGGGCCGCTTAAAAGAAACTCCCAAGCCACTTTTAGAGTCCAGAGATTTCGAGCAAAAGCCACTTTTCACCACTGGCAATAAAGGACTCTGATTTGGCTCAGAGTGTTGGCGATTCTCTACAATTTCACACCAGGAAATCCAGTAATTATTTAATTTCTGTATGCATTGGTATCCAACAGCTGTACTCTTACGGTATTGTAGAGACTGATAGAATAAATACATATTAATAAATTGGGTTTTTGACTTTTAAATATTTGTACTGAGAGAGATGGGTCTATCAAATATCTTAGAGAAATTACTTCCAAAAACCAAGGTGTGGGAAGCAAGGTAGAAGAACCAGTCCCCAAAATGGCAGTTAAAGAAGAAAAGGTTATGCAAGACTATCTCAGAGAAAATTAATTTCAGAACATGAGAAAAAAGTTGAAATAAAGAAGTTGCTCTGAGCCCTTGGCTGTCCAGGAAGGACAAATCCTGTGTCTGTGAAGAAGTGAGGCTGTGCATGTCACTTGCGCCTTCTGAACAAGCCTTGCTGGTGACTCTGCTGGTGCCAGGGTGTCACAGGCCTTCCCCAGAAGAGAAGGATAGGCAGCTTGGGTCTGCGAGTGCCTGCAGAAGCCTTGGAGAAAAGTGCTGCAGGGAATTTGCCAGCCCTAGCCTTGATCCCAGCAGCACTCAACCTACTGCAGAAGTATTCAAAAGGTACCTAGGCAGTAATGAGCAGAGGGATAGAGTCAGGGGCTTTCTTAGCCTCCTCCTGCTGTAGCCACTGCTGATGAAGGCTCTAGATGAGATGCATGAAGCTGCTGTGGGCTCCTGCAGGTATACAGCACATGCAGAGAATATAGTCTCTGCTTGCTGTAAGATGTAAAACCCAAGGGCACATCTATGACCAGTGGGGAGACCATTAGGTACCATTTCACTGCTTGTCAGAGAAGTAGCGCATTTCTTCAATTTTTCCCCTAGAACCATGGCTGATAAAACCCAAGAAGTCAGTGATATCCATTTCCCTTTTCCTTTCCCACTCTTCTCCATCCAGAACAAAATTCATGGCACAGCTGTACCAAGTATTGGAGGCTGGCAAGATCAGGATATTCAAGAGTTCCATTGGCATGGTGAATCTGGTTGACATGGGGCGATGACTGAAAACTTGAAGGCAGTCTTGCTGGCTTCCACTCCTCACCTCCACAGGTATTCATGGCTGGAAGTTGGTCAGCACAGTCCCTCAGTTTACCTTTCTGAGCTCTCTTGACTGAGCTCCCACAGCAAATCATTCTCAATAAGAATTTCATGACATCCCTCTGCTTGTAGTGCCGGCCACAGCCCTGTCTGGTTTGGACCCTCCAGAACCTCACTTGGAGACCTCTGAGGCCCTTGGGCTTTGAGATCCTTACTCTGCTAACCCAGGTCCAATTCTCTGTCTCTCTGCTTCTTGAGCTTGTTATTTTCCCTCCTGCTTTTTTTGTTCTTGTGTGAATGTCTTGACTTTGATCCTGTTTTAGTGGGTTATGCCAGAGAATGTGGCAGAGCAGTGTTGACCCTGCCTTCCTTACCCTGTAGACCCTTCTCCCTCTCTGCATTTCCATCCCTGTCCTCTGCTCCCTACACATGTGCCCTCCCTCTACCCAGCCCTTATATGTTGACCCCTTGGTTTCATGGCCTCATTGTGTGTGTTCCTTCCTGTGGAAACCTGCCCCTGTGACTCAGTTCCCCTTTGTGTTCTGGGTCTTTTAAGACATACCAAAGAGGTTCCATGCCATTTTACACTCTTGAGTGGGATTTATTAATCTGCCTGCTTCAGATGCGCAACTCCCCCCCCCCACAGCTGCCTGAGATGCCTGTTTAACCTATGAGCCACTTGCTAAAGCCTTCCATGGTACCAGCAGCCACAGTTGGCATCTTGGTGCCTGCAGTGCCCTGTATGGTGCTGCAGTGCTGGGAGTGTCACAACCTGGACTTTACCAAAATGTGTGCTGTCCTTCCAAGTGTGTGTTACACTCTTTCCCCTGGGTACTTTCCAGGTTTTCCTGCACCTGAACATGCCCAGCCCCAAGCCCAATTTCTCCACACCCAAGAGGTGTTGGGAAAATGAATGAATTTCCTTGCCTGGGCTGAGATTTATAGCTTGGTGTCTGTGGTGCTGCATGAGATGCCATTGACTACAAATGTGGGAAAGAAAGAAAGGTATGCTTTCAAGACATCAAACAGCACAATGTGAAGCATCGGGAAGCATCTGGCTGGAAGCATCTGGCAATGGGTGATATGCAACCAGTAATATCTGATATGCAGGCAGGGACACCTATGTGCAAACAAGGATGTGAAGGGGGAAAGCACTGCTTGTCTTGCTGGGAGAGATCAAAGGGTGCTAAGACTGGGTTGCAGTTAACCAGAGTCTGCTAATAATGGGCAGAGATGTCTGTTACAATTCAGTGTCTCTCAGAAGCTGAGGGAAATGGTGGATATGAGGCTTTTCTGAGGCTGTGTAATCTGACCACTCAGCAACAGTGTATTCTGGCACAGGGCCTTTCATGGTCTGATGGAAGCTGATAGCTTCCACTTATCAGGATGATAATTTTATTACATGGTATGTATATATATACACCTCCAGCTCCAGTTGCTTACTTATTATGGACTGGGTAATCTTTGTATCCCACAGCATGCATTCACCTTGATGCCTTAACTAATTTAATGCTTGCACCGCTGTGTGAGGAAGGCAGACTCCTTCACCCCCTTTATGAATACATCTGTGGCAGCAAGCATTAAGAAGTCATCTGAGAGTCCCAGACCTGGCAAGCAGAGGAGCCAGGATGTAGCCCAGGCAGCACAGCAGTGGCATCCAAAGCCTTAGCCTCTGCTGTGCACCACTTCCTCTGAGCTCCACATAGGGCACCTTCTCCCCACACTGCATTGAGCTTGGAGGAGGCTCGGAACCTTCTTTGGATGCTCTGAGATGTCAGTGTCTCTGGGAGCTGATTCCCTGGACAGAAGGGGTGGGGACCTGAGCTGACCAGGAGGGACAGGAGCAGCAGCCTGTGGGCCTCAGTCCATGCCAACACCCTTGGATTCCATTACACAGCCCACACCTGAGGCACCTACATAGCAGAAAGCTGTTGTTGCAAACTTCTGGAGGTTACAGCAAGATGGCAGCAGGGCTGGACCTTCTGAGATCCATGAGGGAAGGGTCTGCCCATGTCCTCCCTGTCTCCCAGCAGGGGAGGGTGTCTTCACCCTCTATGTCATCATCACACCTTGCTCCTGTACTCACCTGCATCTTGACTCACCCTTTCATGAGGACTCCTGTCCTTGGGAAGGAGTAGGGCCCCCCAGTCTCATGTACACTAATTACATCTACAGTGATCCTGTCTCCAAATAAGGTCACATTCTGAGCCACAGGACAAGGACTTCCACATGGCAGCTTTGAGGGGATTCATTTCAGCATGTAGCAAGGGCCACAAAGGAAATTCTGATATTTAAATCACATTTCCAAAGCAGTTGGCTGGCTTTGGGGGAAAAAAATGAACAAAATCTGAAACACTAGGACTGATTATGTTGTGTCTACACATCAGTTGCTTTAAAGCTTAGAGTCAGCTGTGGCTGGCCCTTGGTAACTCTGTGAACTTGTGCATTTTCTGGCCTGAATTCTTTTTTGTCCAATTTTGTTTTTATTAGTCCATGTTTGCCATACATACTGATTCCCTTCCCCTTGGGGAGTTGGTGCATTGGCATAACACATCATAATTCTTTTTCCATCCCCTTCCCCTCCCTATCCCCACTGTTTCTCCTCCCTCCATCTCCTGATCCTCTTCCCATTGACAAAAGATGTGTCTCACTGTTTCCTATTTTCTGTCTTTTAACTTTCTCTTTATAATCTGGGTTTCTCATGAGAAACCATGTGATATTTAAGCGTGCATGTCTGATTTATTTCACTTAACATTATGATCTCAAGGTGCATCCATTTTCCTAGAAATGACTTGTTTATCCTTCATGGCAGAGTAGTACTCCACTGTGTGTAAAGACCACATTTTCTTTATCCATTCATCTGTTGATAGACATATAGGCCACTTCCAAGATTTAGCTATTATGAACTGTGCTACTATAAAGTAGGCATATATAACTGAAACAAATAGACACTTCTCAAAAGAAGAAGTAAAAGTCACCAGTAAATACATGAAAATCGTTCTATATCACTGACTATTAGAGAAATGCCAAATAGAGCAATACTGAGTTCCATCTCTCTCCAGAAAGATTGGCCATTGAGAAATCAAACAACAAATCCTAGTGAGTCTATGGGCCAAAAGGAACCCTTCTCCACTGTTGGTAGGAATGTAAACAAGTACAACCACAGTGAAAATCAGTGTAGAGACTCCTCAGAAAACTGAAACTGGAAATTCCATTTGACCCAGCTATTCCCCTTCTAGGTATCTTCCCAAAAGAGTTAAAGACCTCATATTACAAGGATATGTGTCTTAATTCTTCTGATGGTGCTGTTAATCTAATTTCTTGTCACTAATTGTTGCCATGCAGTATTTGTATATAACCCATCAAACAACTTTAAATTCTTGGAAGGGTGAGCTGCATAATTGAAACAGAGCTGTTTCCTGCTGCTTGGCCCCAGTATTTGTTTCTTTCCTTTTCCTGTTTGCCCTGGCTATCATATGCCCACTCCTTTCCTAGACAGTCTTACAGCATCCTCTAGTTAAAGCCAGAGCTTACTGAAGCGGGGAAAGTCCTGTAATTTCAGCTACTTGCAAGGCTGAGGCAGGTGTGACAAGGGGGCAAGTTCAGCCTGGTAAATTATCAAGACCCTGTTTCAGAATTAAAAATATAAAAATAAAAAGGTTTGAGGATACAGCTCAGTGGTAGAGCACTTACCTGGAATGAACAAGGCCATGGGCAGTACCACAAGTGAAAGAGGCGAGACATTTGGCATGGTTAGTTGAGTGCCCTCTGTTTCTGAAGGCCATTTTTCTCCCCACAGGGAAAGTCCTTAAGTCACATCTGCAGGGCCCTGTCCTGGCTCCATGACTTTGAGCAGAAGAAACAGCAAGAAGAGGCCCACTGTCTCCTTGAACCTGAAGCCGGCCCCTCGCCTGAGGGGCAGACTTGCATCCTGCAATCTTGTCTTCCTGCCAAGCATCCCCCACCACTCTGAGACCTACACAAGAGCCAGACTGGGTCACCAAGTTTGTGCAGAGGAAGGAAGGAAGGGACCTGGCAGAGCAAGTGAAGGTGAGGGCTGGGTAGCATCCTCGAGTCAGTGGATGCAGAGTCACCTCTGCTGACGGAACCAGCCATCACTAGTCAAACAGTACCCGAGCAGAGGGGTGAGGATTAAGAAAGAAAAACACTGACTCAAAGGAAAAGAAAAAGGAGAGAGGAGGAGAGACCTCTCTCCCCACTTTATTGACCCTTTTATATCCTTTCCACAGTTCCCCTCCCCTCCTCACCACATGATCAGGTGACTAGTTTACAGAGAAAAGGTCAAGTGTATCTTTACAATTCCAGGGATGTTATTTCTTTGCTTTGCAGACATTCAGATTCTTTCTATTTTTACTACTCTCTTCACAAGTCAACATCCTTGTTTTCGTGCCAGTTTCATATCCAGGGTTCATTATACTCTCAAGAGGCTCAGAGGTCTTTCAAGGTTGTTTCAACCCTTCGCTCTCCACACTCTGCATCCTTCTGAGCCGTGGTCACCTGTCCTTCTCTGGGCACCACTCCCCATGCACTGTGTACCCATGGTTGGCCTTGGTGATGGGTCTGGGCCCTGGATGCAATGGAGGGAGGAGTCTGACCAGGCTGTGGCCCAGGAAGGGATGCAGACTTCCTGCCCCAGGCAGCAAGGGTGACTTGCCAGTTTGAGGTTCAGAGGGACTCCTGGAACCCTCATTGCTCTAGAGGATGGCAGGGTCCCTGCAGGAGTCTCCTCACTGCTGTGTCCCCCCCCAGGAGAAAGAAGTGAGAGGAGTGGCTGCAGCAGGCCCTCAGGGTGGATGAGGATGAGGAAAACCTGGAAGAGGAACACATCACAAAGGTTAAGATGCTAAGGCCTAGATCCTTCTTTGTCGGGCTGCCCTCCACATGCACACACACACAGTCATGCACCATTTTTCTCTTTTCCTGTCCTTGCTCTGAAATCCCTGAGGAGAGGGAGTGTCCAGCTCAGACTTCATCTCTTGCTATGGGAGATGCATGGGAGATGCATGCCTCCATAGTGCTCCCGGACAGTGAGGGCCTGCCACATGAAGACACAGCAGCAGGGACACTGCCTTTCCAAGATCCTAAACCCTGGCTGAAGGCACAGTTGCATGGGTGGCTTCCTTTGGTGCCATGTGATGCAAGGCAATGCCATGTTACTAGGGACCTGCATTTGCAGCCACCTTCCTTGTTCCCTCAGGCCCTTGATACTTGATGTACAGAGAGCATTTGGGGCTGTTAGCATCCCCTCTTTGACTTCCCCTTCATCTGCTCTGAGCAGATTACTGCAACCAGATGCTTTTGTCCTTTTGTCCTTGGCTCTATTGATATAGTGTATTACATTGATTGATTTGCATATGTTGAACCATCCCTGCATCCCTGGGATGAATCCCACTTGGTCAGGGTGTATGATCTTCTGCATTCTATTTGCCAGTATCTTACTAAGGATTTTTGCATCTATGTTCATTAGTGAGATTGGCCTATAGTTCTCTTTTTCAGTTGGGTCTTTCTCTGCTTGAACAAAGCATTCTTGCAAGAAGTGAATCTTAGGTTAATGGGAACTTGTTCTTTCCCTTATATTAAAATTAACTTCTTATACAGGTTGAGCAAGAACCATGGGCTTTTCAGCTGTAGATACTCTCAGCTAATACAGGCCCCACAGAGCCATTAACCTGGGTTGGTCTCAGCCATGGCCAGTGGCAGTTACATTCTCTTTCTGCACACTAGCTGCAGCCATTAAGCTGTGCACTTATGCCTTAGACTAGTTCTGAATTAAACCAATTGTATCTGCCAGTTGAATATAATCAAAGCCATGTCAATACCATCTTAAGGTAATCTCCTTCATGAGATATTCAGGAAGTAGTACTTCAATCCTGGCCTTTATTAATAATCCCTGTGAGCAGCAATATCCCTCACTGCACTTAGAAGTGTATGTGAGACACTTCTAAGCTACTGTTCAAATAGGGTTAGTTAGGTCCGGGGATTTAGCTCAGTGGTTCCAACCCCTGCCTCGCAAACTCAAGGTCCCAAGTTCGATCCCTGGTACCACAAAATAAAACCCAAAGGCAGAACAAGGAAAACTATCATTACTCCTAATGAACATGAATGCAAATAGGGTTACTTATTAAATACACTTAACATGTAAATGATGATGATGTGTTGTAATAATAAGATTACTGATTTATTTAACCCTAAGTTGTCTGAAATTAAAAAATATTATTGTGTTAATTATGAATAAAGTCATAAACAGAAAAAACATTTGATTCAACATAAAGTTTATCTTAGGCATTAGCTATCTAATTCTAAATGACGACAGCTGTATTTCTCTCATTTTTAGTAATAAACTAAAATTTGTGTATTAAATGTGACATGGCTATATTATAAATTTAGATGTGTGTTTTTCTGAAGGTCAAATTTCTAAACATGTTCCATTCCCACAATACACACAAGACCTGCTCATCCTGGAATGTTGTCTTCTAGATGGTTCCCGCAATTACAGCATGTTACTCATTTTTGTCACCACAAGTAAACCACCACCATCTCTCCATTTTTACTCTCCTGCTCACTCCAGTTACTCCTTATGTATATGAGGTGTGATTGCATTATGCAGAGAATGTTCAAATTAAAACAATTTTTTTACCATAACAGGCACATTGCCATTAATCCACCTAAAATACTTTCTCTTCCTTCAAACACACATGCCTTGATTCTTTCCACTTTCTGAACAATCCTGGAAGTTCTCTGTTCTGAGTGTCTTTAAAAGGTGTGATAAAAAATGAAATGAATGTTACTTCTTAGTGCTGTCCAATGGAAATGCAGGCTCATAGAACATTACTCTGTGTCTTAATCCACCTTACTCACCAAACGGCACCATTTCAATTCCAGCTCTTACTCAAAGGAAAAATAATCATGAAAGGTAAGCATTTTGAATCAATTCAGGTCATTGAGGTAGCCAGGTCAATACAAGTAAAGACATTCATAAGATAGGCCTTCCTGGACTCTTTCAGAAAGAAGTAAGAACAATAGGATGAGTGTATAAAGTGTGGTGGAATGCTTGGGAGAAATTAAAGCAAAGTAGCTTTTACAGTAATTTTTTTAATGTAAGAATTCATTATAGTTTTATCAAACCATATGGATCATATATATATATATATGATATACAGAGTCCACCATAAATGTGTGCACATTTTAGGAAAAGAAAAACATGTATAAATATTTTAATACTACATTTATTGAGACATCATGAGTTTAATACAAGTTACCTTTGGCCTCTACTATTACAAGAGGTGCTCAAAGTGGTGGACATGAGCTTTCAAACATTTATTAGCATAGTGAAATGCTGCTTGGATACCCTTGGTCACTGACATTGCTGCATATGCATTTTCAATTTCTACTCTGAAGTCTGGCAGTGTAATGGGTTTTCTGTGATATATGATGTCCTATGTCCTCGAGGATTCCCCACAGAAGGGTAACATCATCTGCTGAAAAGACATCATACTATTTTTTCTTTTCCTGAAGTGGGTTTTCACTATGATGTCCAGGCTGGTCTCAATCTATATGCTCATTTTCTGTGGCTATATTCCAGCTCAACTGTAGAGGAACCAGATGCAAAAGAGGTCACATGATCTTGAAACCTTAAATATTTACTGTCTGGCCCTATATATATAAAATTTTGTGACCCTCATTCTACATTACTTATTACCAGCTTACTGGTGGCTTTTCCCACTGCTAACATTTGCAGAAGGGCAGCTCCTGAGCATCTCTGATCTATTCATCAGCAACTGTGTTGGTAACTCTCAGCCTTGTGCCATTTTCTTTGTCCTCAGCATGGACCTCACGTCATGTGTGAAGAACAATGGGATTGGGAAATAATCTTCAAGTTAAATCAAATGAAAATAAAATGATACCTCTTTTCTTCATGTTCTTCTTGGTTTTAACCTCCCCCCCCAAAAAAAGTCTACCTGCCTTTTGTGAGAAAGAATGTATTGTATTTCTAGTGACTCACTGAAAAGTTCTGATTTAGAACAAACCAATTTATTCACTCCTATTATCTATGGTTTCTGAGAGTTCAAACCCATTGTAAATTTTAGAAAGAAAACATCATTTTGCCAATTACCAAATGCTAAATAACACAATAATTTGCATTAAAGACAAAGCCACCCATTATCACATGGCATTTAAGAAATTCAAGACATGTGAAAAGTAAATCATGTAAGATTGATACTTCAGAGTACTGTAATATGGATTATGCCCCAAAGCAGGCTGTGAAGAGTTAACCCAATTGGCTTGTTTTGAGAACTGAGTTTGGTCAAAGCCCATGTGCCAAGATCAGATTAACTCTCACCCAAATTCTGTTCCCACAACTAATACCTTCTGACTAGAAGGACAATGTTCTAATTACAACCACACATATTGTCTATTTTGTTCCTAATTCAAGAATGCTTTGTCTTGTCCTCTATGAGCCTTGTTTCCATTGCTTACCATAGAAACTGAGCATAGCTTGCCTTTATCCCAACTGATTGCCAATAAAAATCAGTTCCTGGGACTGGCCAGCACCTTTGTCAGTTGCACTAACATTGGTCATCCTGGCACCCTGCTTTCTCTCTCTTAGTTCTGTCTCTTAGTGTATTTGTTTCTTAGGCCTGCATCATAGACCGAGCAGATGGGTACTGGAACCTGACTACAGGGGTCTTCAGGAGGTATCAGGTCAGGCTGAATGAAGAAAGCCCAGAGGAAAAGTCTGGAAAATTGGCAGGAGTCAAAACCACATTGTAACAAGCATCCACAATAATCTTAATAACTATGAAACTTGTGACCAGGTTAATTGGTTTTATTTCAACTAATTCTATTTCTATATATCAATGTGTCTTTAGTGTTGTATACATCATTGTAAAATATTTCAAGCACAGTAGACTGTGTAAACAAAAAGCTACCTTTTTGCTATTCTGTTTTCTTTCCTTTTTATCAGGATTATCAAAAAGAAAGAAACTCAAAACAAAAACTATTTTTTGTGTGAGTTTAATTTCTCCTTTAATAGAGTCATGTGAGTGAACAAATATAGTATTGTGGGTGACTTGATGTAAAACCAAATATTTGAACTGTGTGAATTTAGATCTGATGCAATTTTCAAATGGTTTCTGCCCTTTGTCAGCCCTGCTCTCAAATAAGAATATCTCAAATTTTTCTTTTGCAAGAGTGGGTCATAAAAGGAAATGGAGATAAGATCAGCAAGCCTTAGGCCACTCCACATCAGGTGTTAGGTTGTAGCAGGAAAATCATCCTCTGCCCGGGATTCATCTCTCCTCATGTCCCCACACGAGGCCACAGAAGTGATGCTAACTGACCAGAGGAATCCAGGAACTGATATCACTCTCCAGCCAGCAACATAACCCTGAATTGTAATTCAATTCACAATAATAGTCTGGCCCAGAGGAGGTCAGACTTGTGGGGTATCTGGGAACATAGAAATGCCTGCTCTGATGTACTCTCATGTGTCTGTGTGTAGTGGGTGCATCTTCCAATGCACAATCCACATCCATGTAGGCACATCTTTTTGTGGTGGTAGAGATCAAACCTTGGACCTTGTACATGACAGGAAAATGCAAATGCAGAAACAACTCCAGACGCACTCAGCCATGTCATTTTTGACAAAGGAGCCAAACATTCTCCTTAGAGGAAAGATAGCCTCCTTAATAAATGGTGCTGGAGAAATTGGGTCTCAACTTGCCAAAGACTAAAACTAGACTTATATCTCTCACCATGCACTAAACTAAAATTGAAATGGATTAAAGATCTAAATATAAAAACAGAAATGCTGAGCCAGCTGTTACAGAGGTTAGGTTGAACTCTTCAAGACATTGAGGTAGGAAAAGATTTTATGAACAAAACCTCAGTTGCCCGTGAACTAGCACAAACAATCAACAAGTGGGATCTCTTCTTACTAAAAAGCTTCTGGACAGCAAGAGAAATCACCAGCAGTGTGAAGAGACAACCCACAATGGGGGAAAAATCTTCACCTGCTCTTCCTCAGACAAAGGTCTACTATCTCGAATCTA